ATGCATTAGACAGCCTGCAAAGGGCCCTGGAGTGTTGTGGAGCTGAGGGTTGGCGCGACTGGCTCACTTCGGACTGGGCTATCCAGCATATGACCTTCCTGCCCACCGAGAACGGCACCTCTGTGTCGCTGCCGGACAGCTGCTGCGTGAGGCGCAAGGGCTGTAAGAATCGACCTCTCCTGTCAGATGATAGTGAAGAAGTAGTGGCTGCAGGAATCCATCCACACGGCTGCTTCCGCAAAGTCTTCAGTTTGGTCAACGACAACGTCTTCCACATTGCCGCCACTGTGTTAGGATTGGCCTTCACTCAGATCGGAGGCATTGCCTTGGCTTGTCTGCTGGCCAACAAACTGGCACCGAGACAACGTCGACGTGTGGTGGCACATTAATGGTTACACCAAGGATTGACCAATTTGTAGATAATTAGAATTTGGGAATGGACTATGCCCTTAAAGAGTAATAGAGTTACAAAGTGGGGGGAGTTGTTTTGGGTATCATTGACCAGGCTTCTAAAAGTTTAAGTCATGTTTACTTTCTGAATAAACATTGTCAGATGAGGTCTTCCAAGCCATGAAAAATCTCCCAGTTAGAAAAATTTGTATATTCTTTATGAAATATCTTGTTCTTTTGCAAAACTGCCAAAGGTACATGAAAACATTAGAAGAAATCAACTAAAACTCCTGTTCGGCATTTTGGTAAGAAACATTTAATTACAGCAAGCTGAAGCTAAAGCTACCATGTTGTAGAAACCTGATTCTGATAAAACATTCATATTATGATGTTGTAAAACTCTAAATACTTGAAGTTTCTAAGTAAATTTGGAGGAACTGAGGGACTACGGTTTGGTATTTAGTTCCCCCTTTGTTGGGTTAGGAGTTAGAGATAACCCCCTAACTCTTGTCTATATTGAAGAACATTGAGGATATCATTAAAAGAAAATGGGAATTTAGTCGAAACTCCTCACACTTTGTGACTCTTTTACACTCACTGTTGGCCTGTCTTCTGCACAATTTTGAAAAATGCTTCATCTGTCCATTTGATACCTGCAAAGGGTATCAAAGTCTTGCATCACAAATTTGGGTGGGACCAGGTTGGCCAGCAGACTGTAAATCTCAAAAACTGATTGTGTGTGTTGTATGTTTAAATATTGGCATGGATTCATATGCTGCATTATATAAAAGTGTATATATAAAAATTACAGTTAAACTATTCATACTTTGGTGACCTTCTTTAGTACATCTCACCACTGAATGCACAGGAATGTCCACCAGCAGTTTTCCACTTCAGATGATTTAGTCTGGCTGTGTTCAACAGATGTTCGTATCTACGTATCATTTAGTCTTCCCATCACAAAGACCACACTGTGCTAGAATGGTGCTTTCGAAAAGAGCTTAATAACCTATTGCTGTCTGGTATTTCGTGCTGTCTATACATCTGACAGGCCGTAGTAATTTCCACTGTGTTGAGGTGCTTTGGTAAAAATGACTGCTCTAAAAAGGTTTCTTTCAGATGTTGCTACCGTTGTATATCCTGAAGCACAAAATTGTTTTAAATAACTGAATATTGTGAACAACACTTTTGGAACATGACTTCTAAAATGCTCACGGACATTAGCACGACCCAGATGTTGTGCAACCAACTGCTAGCATTGACTCACTTACAGTGAGTGTAAGTCTGATTAGAATTTCTCTTCTTTAACATCAAATTTAAGTTCAATTAAATAAATAGTTATCTTTATTTGCTTTCTTGTAGAAAGTTAGATGAGGTGTCCAATATCATTCTCACGTCTGTAGGCTAAATATGAAGCTAATACCAGCAGCCGGTTAGCTAGCATACAAACTGAAAGCGGCGCCATGCCATTGGTCTGACGGCTTCTTTCTGAAATAGTCCAAAAAATGTTCTATTGGACCAAAAGTCCATTTGTCCCACTGCCTGTTATCCTGAAAATGAAGGCTCATTGCTCCAAAAATACAAGCCTGGTAGGCTATAACTTATGTAACATACGTAATTAAACTTACGTATCTACTTATTTTAACTCAAATTGGGATCTTTTCCTGAACTTAACCAAGTAGTTATGTTGCATGAACCCAATCAATGCACCACTTTCACAACACTAACCACGTGTTTATTATTGTTACCATAACGATGAAGGTCATCTGACGTTTGCATGTCTAAATCCTCAAAGATATTAAGGACAAAATACACCAGGGAGAGTGTGTATTCCCAAGACAACAGGCGTTTGTTTTTAGGGTAACAGGCTGTCGGACAAATGGGCTTCTGGTCCAATGGGCAGTTTTTTCCAATTCGGGCTATCTGCACATCTACAGTACTACAGGACACGCCTGCTACATGATACGCCCTTACAACATTCACAGTTTGGTTAGGTTTAGACACCGATATGTTAAGGCACAAGAAAACGTCATAGTTTGGGGTTTTTCGGGGCATTTCGGATAATAATGACCCATCAAAACAATGGGCAGAAAGCAGAGGGAAACAACCTCGCTAGTTGATACACTTTTGTTTAATTTTATTTTTTTTTTTAAATGTGAATTAGTGATCTTTAGAGTTGTTGGCAGGTGAATTTTGTTACCATTAGACAGAGCCAGGGTAGCTGTTTTCCCCCTCTTTGAAGTCTTTTCGCTACGCTAAGCTAACCTTTGCCTGGCTGTTGTCAGGCTCTGCCTCACACTAAACTAATAAATATATATTATATATATATGTATTATTATTGTCAGGATATTTGTGATTGTGTATATTATTGTTTGGGTGTTTATTGTGTTTTGTCTTCACAGTTTTGTTCCTCAAACAACGTGAAGGGTTAGATCACCCTGATTTATCATACAGACTCAGGAGTGGTATCAATCTTCTCATCTAACTCTCGGCTACATTTCCCAAAAATATTCCTTTGATGAATATAGGTGTTTTATTCTGATATGAACTTGTTGTTACACGTGTTTTAAGATCACTATATGCACTCCATCCACCCACCTTCCAGCCTCAACATCATACATCCCTCCTTCCCTTTTTAGGGTTTTCCTTTTTATTGCTCTTGTAATTGCAATGTATGATATATATATCCCACATTCATTAATGTATAATGTATTCTAACAATCACCAACAGTGCGATCAAGCATGACTGAAACTGTAAACTATATCTGTCAACAATAAACAAAAAATCTTTGCCTCATTACAGGATATAATATTGATTGGGAATGGGAATGTCAAGGTCTACTGTCCTTGAATATATTAAATATATAAATGGCAACAGCATTCTTGTAATGTAATGTTGATGTAGTCTAGTATGTACATAACAAAACACCATACAGTACAGCATTTGGAAAAGGCACATCTAAAGTAATGTCTAATAAACATCTTTCAGGGCACTTTTTGGGGTATAAATGTGATTTTTTCTTCTTCTTCCGAGTGGAAATAATAATAATATATTCCTCATCCTTACAGGTGGCAGGTTCAACCTCCTGTCTGCTTTTTAAAGATGTTTAGAAACGGCTCTAGGTCTTTATTTTATAAGAAAAAGCCACACTGGGAGTGTGCCAGAGTGGTAAATTCTCAGCGCTAGTGGTCGATCCCCACTAGGACCTCTGGCCGAGCAGTTCTGAATTATGGCTAACTGGACGACATCTCATTTCCACCACCTGAGACAACGGTGATTAGATCTGACCTTGAAAGGGGAGACAGCAGATACGGACGCAATGCCGAGCGTGATTAAACACAACAGCCTGACCCAGCATTGATTAGTTAATAGCAACAAAAAAAAAATCTTCTGCTCAAATTGGGTAATATGAAGTAGATTCACATCAAAATCACAAAGTTAACCTTTAAGTCTACATATGTCAACGTTTAGTGACAGAGAGGCTTTGAGCTGTGGCCTCTAAACAATGACCATTTTCATGACCTAATTTATGGTATTGATTAACCTACATTATGCTCCAATAAGGCTTGCGGATGCTTTCTGTCTGATTACACTGTCCTTGTTTAACCTATTTTGCCTGAGGTTGCTACATCCCCACTAGCAGTTTCATCACACAGAACATGAGCTGAGAGATGTTCGAGCAACACCTTAAGTCAGAGAAACCACAAGGGGTATTTGGCTCGTGAAACCTCTGAGAACTATTTTGGGTTGGGCGATTTAATGTTCACTATTTATGACTTGTCATCTACCAAAACAAACGCTCACCAGAAGGGACACAAAATGGCTGCAGAGTGGTGCAAATTATAGCCACAATCACATCTCCACACTTCTTAAAGATGAAGATAACATATAATAACTTGATTAGGGATTTCCAGCATCACAACATTGATTAATGCAAGGTTTATACATGTATATTTACTCATGTATTTTTGGGTTACAGCTTGGAAAACACACTTGGAAATCATGAAATGAGTTCCCCTTAAACAATTATTTACATGGAAGCATGAAAGATTAGAAAAACAGGATTAAGGACTATCTGACCTCTGAATACGAATCCACGTGTCCTCTTACTGATACTGCAAACTCATGGTTGAATGCGATTTCCTGTTTGCTATAAGCCTGTCATTTGTTTTGTGAAATTGTTTGTCTTAATTTTTTACTGTTTAGTCTATCCCAAACTTTATGCTGCTGTCTTGGGCATAGGACTCCCATGTGAAAGAGATTTTAAATCTTAATGGGAATATTCCTGGTAAAATAAAGGCTAAATAAAAAAATAAAATAAAAAGGTTCTCCAGTTTGAATGTAGATTCATTCACAATTCTCAAATACATGATAAATCTCCTAATAAAAAGGTAACATATCACAGTTGCAGGTTACTTGCTCAGAATACATTTGTTTAAACGTGTAAAAGAATTGGCTTTAAGTAGTTGAAACTACCTTGGAGTCCGTTATCTTTTCAGATTGTGAAGCTGCTTAAATAAATATGGCTTTAGGCTTTTTATACAAATGGGTGTGTCTTTAAATCCTGCGTCCTGAATCTGATAACACGAATCCCTCTTATTTGGTTTTTGGCTGGCAGCACTTGAGGAATTCAAACACCCTGTACTGTCTGGATCCATGTCTCAGACCTTGGAAATGTAGCTCGGATATGTCTACGTTTTCCCTGTGAGTTTGTTGTTGAGCTAATGGTAAGAAAGTAGATACTACTATTGGAAAAAATGTGAACCGGACTTGTAGTTTGACATTTCTAAACTCATTTTAAAAAAATGTATTGTGGAGGACAGGGTAAGCTTTTATCTCTACTCTCCGCCTCTTGAAGTCTGCCCTACATCTGACTCCTTTTGGTCCTTTGCAGTTTGCACAGCAGCCTGTGCTCTGCCCTACATTTTATTTTGGCGTTTCTCACCACCACCGCTCCGTCGCTGCGTAAAAGCTGCCGCGCTGCGCTTGGACATGTAGTTGATTTGCGCACAACGACGTCTCCAAAATGGACTTAAAATCCAAACTCCTCAAGTCCATCTGGTACGCTTTCACATCGCTGGACGTCGAGAAGTGCGGGAAAGTGTCCAAATCGCAGTTGAAGGTAAGCAGGGATTAAATATGTAGTCATTTTAAGATCAGGAAACTGAGACCGAGGGGCGTCCACTGCAGTTTAGTGGTTTCACAGACTTTAACAGCGCTGCTTTTCCCTTTAAATTACTTTTTCTGGCTGAAGTCAAATAAAAAGTCTTTATTTGTTCAGAATCAGAGCTGTAACCCTAAGGGTATAAGCGCACAGACGCCCTAGAAGCTCACACACACAAGTGCAAATATTTGAAAAAGGCTTAAAGACCTGAAAAAACCTGCTCAGATTGAAGGTGAGGGTGGTTAGAACCCAGCTTCAGCTTCAAACTCAAAGTCCAACCTTTTCTCTGTGACCCAGAAACATAAATAGTGACATAATACCACCTCTGTCAGGGTTTCAAATAAAATAGATCTTAGTTTGCCATCTTTTCCCTTCAGTGGGTGTTATTTTTTTCTGTTATGTTGCTTTCAGTCCAGTCCCTACATGCCTGAGTGAGCGCCCAGATGAGAGAAGAATCCAGGGAAATAGCAGACAGCTGTCCTAACATGCTTATTGACTGAGGACTAGCTGTCTGTGCCTGTGTGTGTTTGTGGATGTATGAAGTAATAAGGAGAACAACTGAGGAAAAACCTTGTGGCTGTGCGCCGACCTTCGTATACCTAAAGTGACATGGTATCTATATATTATGTCTGTGTTATGTCTCTAGGTGCTTTCACACAACCTGTACACAGTGCTGAATATCCCACACGACCCTGTGGCTCTGGAGGAGCACTTCCAGGATGATGATGATGGGCCGGTGTCTAATCATGGCTATATGCCCTACCTCAACAAATATATACTGGATAAGGTACTGTACAGAAATACTAATTATATACATTTTTATCTGTGTATTTATATACATATATAGTGTACTTTGTGTGTTCTTTTATTTTATTTGCCACCTAAAGTGCCTTTAAGTATCTTAAGAAGTATCCTAAATTTCCTAACTTTGGAACTTTTTGCCCTATTATTCTTCTTCGTATTATTATTATCATTATTATTATTGTTGTTGTTGTTGTTGTTGTTGTTGTATTGATGCACTTTACAGGTCTGTATTTTGTAAGTTATTGGTAGAAAATGCCAGTAACATAAACATTACATGACCACTGAGAAATATCTGTTTTATAAAACTATTACTCAAAAGTTACTCAAAACTGAGTTGCCGCTGCTTATTATGTTTGACTTTATATCCTGTAGTACTTGTATTGTATTTTAATTATCTAAGTAGCTTTAAGTATCTTGAAAATCACTCTATAAATAAATTTTTTATTATCATTGGTAATGCTTTAAGTCCCCCTATTAAGCATTTATAAGCAGTATAAAATATTAAATAAATATTTTATGACATTAAACTGTGGTTATAAGCAGATATAAGTACGCCCATTAATGTTTTGAGTTTGTGAACAATAACTTCACCTAAGATATATTTGACATATTTTATATTATACAATTGTGTTTTACTATATTGTCATTCTTTATGTATTTATACACCAGCCTCCACTTATGGGTGCTCACAGGACGAATTATAGTTATATAGCCAAATACATTAATAAACACTGCTTGCAACTACATTATAATCTGTTATGAAACTAGATATGTATTGAAAAAGGATATTTTACAATTGAACAATACATTTAATTGCCAAACAATAGACATTAACCACATATTACATTTTGATATGTACATTTCTCTGTAAATTACAGATATATTACATAAATCATGGTTACAAATAACAGCATACATACAAAAAGAATAAGAATAAGGGTGAACATACATGTATACATGTACACACATCAATGAGTCCCACTGCTGCACTAGGTGACATCGTCCTGCATTATAATGACCTATAAACCCTTTTTTCTGTCTTTTCAGGTCAAAGAGGGGATGTTCGACAAGGAGAAGTTCGACGACCTGTGCTGGATGATGACCCGGAAGAAGAACTTCAAGTTCAAAGGGGTACCACAGGAGGCGCTGCTATCAGAAAGAGACTGTTTCAAGCTCTTCTGCTTATTCAACCTCCTGTCTGAAGACCGTTACCCGCTGGTGATGATACCAGAGGAGGTAAAATATGTTGACAGGAGAGTTTAATGTGTGAAAAGATGTCTGGTGCGACTTGATTTAGGCGATTTGATTGACACCTGATTAATACGGGGATGGCTGAAAAGATTTATTATTAAATATTTATTATTATTTAATGGAATTTGTCTGCCTCAGAGTATAAAATGCAAACATTTTGACACTGTACAGCAAGCGTAAAGGGTCATATTTGGATTTAAAATATGCTCACCAGGCAAATAGGAATAAATAGAGTAATAAATCACACAAGGACTTGGGGTACTTTCACTGTGATCATCTAATTGCTAGAAAGAAATATTATGCTCCACATAAGCCCAGCATGTGTCCCAACAAAGTCAGAGCATTTTCTCAGCAGAAAAAAGCAAGTGCAAGTAAGTAAGTTAATGAGTATCTTCCTTCCTGCACTTCCTCCATAAAGCTTTTGGTTTCCTGCCGACTGAGACAAAAATAAACTTCTTTTGTACTATCAGCGCTGTAGCTTTTCCTCTGTAAAGGTATATGTTGCAGAAATACACAAATACATGTTAGCATACTCAGTATCGCCCAGTATCAGCAACAGCGTTGTAGCTCTAATATTATTTTTACTGTCAATATCTGTTTTTGTGATCTTTTCTGCGAACACGTACAGTTTTGTGATATTTGATTGCTTTAAGGTGGAGTACCTCCTCAAGAAAATCTCCACAGCAATGAGCGAGGAGTGGGATGGGAAACCCTTGGAGGACTTAATATCCCAGGATGCCACAGCGCAGGAAGAGGGCATGTCTGTATGGAGCTTCCTGGAGCACATTGGTGCAGGCCGGCTGCTGAGGGTCACCAGTGCCGAGGCCTTCAGTCTGGCTTTGGATGAGGTCTTTCTGGAGATGTATCACAATGTGCTCAAGAGGGTGAGTATTTTTATGTAAGTTCCCGTCTTTTTCATCCACTGTTTGTCTTCTGTCTTATCACGTTTGTCTTTCTTACTTGTTTCCAGGGTTACATGTGGAAAAAGGGACATGTACGTAGGAACTGGACTGAACGCTGGTTTGTGCTGAAGCCCTCTTCCATGGCTTATTACGTCAGCGAGGACTTGAAAGACAAGAGAGGAGAGATCCAGCTCGATACGAGCTGTGTCATAGAGGTGGGTGAGGAAATGTAATGTAAACACTGCATGTTTAATTATATGAGAGAAAAATGCCGTGCTTTAGATGTGTTACAGCACGTAATTTCCTTGATCCTTGTACTCTGATATCGTGATCTAACCATCAATCTGAAATGTGTCATATTCTGAGTGCCACCGCTTCCTCTCTCTCTGTCGTCTCTCAGCCTATTCCTGACAGAGAGGGGAAGCGCTGTATGTTCTGTGTGAAAACCCACAATAAAACCTATGAGATGAGTGCGCCTGACCAGAGACAGAAGGTGGAGTGGACTCAAGGTGTGTTGGTGTGTATACATATTAGCATACAGAGTCAGAAATTACATTTTGACTGGAGTGACTAATCGTGTGTGTGATCGCCGGTGGCTTCTAATTAAATTCACTGAAAGAAATAGTTTGACATTTTGGGAAATAAACTCTTTTGTAATGAGTTAGATGAGAAGACTGATACCACTAATGTCTGTACTGTAAATATGAAGCAGCCAGTTAGCTTAGCTTAGCACAAAGACTGTCCAGTCTTGTCATGGCAGAAAGTTACTCTGCCTGGTGAGCAGTTACACAAACGAGCTATAATTAGTTAATTGAGCGAGATTCAGACATTGGTAGGTCGATTCTGTTCCCTGTTGGAAGGAGCTAGGCTAGCTGTTTCCCCTTGTTTCCAGACTTCATGCTAAACATATAAACATTTCTAACTGCAAGAAAGTGAATAAGCATATTTCTTATCACTTGTCAATCAATAACTATGTTTAGTGCCATCGTTTTTGTCATATTGGACTTTTTGTTGTCAAAGTATGAGTGTACGTAGGTGGAGGTGGTTTTATTATCTGTGGCCATCATGGCTTATTCTATTTATGGCGACTTCTGTCACCACGCATATTTACATCATTCTGTTTGAGACATTTATTCTTGAATGATGATTATTGATGCATGCCAGTCATTGGTGATGGTGAGGAGGGGTTGGAAAAATGTATATGTAGATCTTTTTAAAAAGATTTCGAATCAACTTTTTAGTCTATAAAATGTGTGAAAATATCATTTTACAGAGAACAACAATACATTTTTGCAATTAGAACCAGAGCATGTTTGTCATTTTTGATTAATAAATGACTTAAACGGTTATTTGATCATCACAATTTTGCAATCGATTAACTATTTTAGCGTTAGTTCAAAGTAAAATGCCTAAAAATGACTCAAAAGGCCTTTTATATTCAGTTCAGTGTTGACATTTAGTATCTTGCATCAGGATCAGTCACAGACTTTATTGGCAATTTCCTTTATATGAAGGATTTCTGGTACAGAAGCGAAGAAACACTGCTAATTTGTTCATTAATCTAAATAAAGAAACAATAATCATAATCAGAAATACTTTTTTGATCCCCTTGGGGGGAACTGGTTGTGTTGCAGTTGCTCAAGCTGCTAAATAAGACCTTCTAAGAAATAGAAATAGCAATAAGAATGTTAAAATATGGGCTTTAAATTCCAATATATATAAAAATATAGAAATATAAAATAAGAGTGTATAAAAAATATGTACATGTATATAAAAATATATAGAAAATAACATTCAAAAAATGTATATACAGTAACAGAGGTGTAATGAATAAATACAAATCGATAACTGAGCACTGTTTCCAATCAAAACAAATATTACTTTAAGATCTTGTTTGCTACCTCTCCAGCTATTCAGACAGCCCTCCGTCTCCAGAGTGAGGGCAAGTTCTCCCTTCACCACGAACTCAAACTGAAGAGACGGGTCCAGCGGGAACACAGCCAGCGGGAGCGCAGCCGGAGCGCCCGGAGTAGCTGCAGCAGCCGGAGCAGCCAATCAGACGACTCCAACATCCAAGAGCTGGAGAAGATGGACAAAGAGAAAGACAGACAGGATTTAGAGATAGAAAGCATCATACAGGTAAGAGGGGAAGGAATCGGTGGAGTTTAAATAATGTAAAGTCAGTTATAACCTTGCTGTATCTGTGTCTCTCAGCATGCACGTGAATTGGAAACCAGACGAAGGGAGGCAGAGGAAAGAGAAAGGAGGAGACAGAAGGAGGTGCAGATGGAGCTGGAGAGACAGCTGAAAGAGGCCGAGACGGTAAAGAAAGTTTTCCAGATGACAGTCTTTATTTACAGTTCGCTGAAATGGGATTTACAGTCCATCCCACTGACTTTGCTCTCTGAAAACAGCACAAAAAACGTTGGCATTATAAAATTCAGGCCTTAACCTTTTGTGATTTTTAGTGGTGGAGAAACCGTAATGACATTCCTGGAAAAGGTGATTCAGGAATAGGTCAGTTCTTTCCACCCAAATTGGTGCGTGTGTGCATGTGTGTGTGTGTGTGTGTGTGTGTGTGTGTCCTAGTTGAGAGACAGCATGCAGGCAGAGATGGAGGAGAAGGCCAGGGAGGCTGAGCAACAGAAGAAGAGGATCCAGGAGTTGGAGCTGACGCAGCGGAAACTGGAAGCTGCTCTCAACATGGAGATCCAGGCTCGGCTGGAGGAGGAGAGGGCCAGACAGGAGCTGGAAAGGTTATGTTTTGTCTTGATATCTATTCTAGATATATAATTATTTTGAGGATAATCATGCAAGTTTTGGGACTACAGTTCTTATAATGCTCTGGAGGATGTGAAGTGTGGGCTAAAACTTCAGCTCTGTTGTTTTTAACCTATTATTTGCTTACATTTAGGCAAAATTGGCACCATTAAAGTAAGCCAACTTAGTTTTTAGTAGCTCATGTTCGCAAAGTATCCATGTATGTACACACAACTATTACTGGATTATTCTGAGACTTAAAAACTTAAAAACATGATGATTCTCAGGCAAATTCTATACAGATTTATGTATGTTTACTTGTGCTCAGCAGCCACAATACAATAACTAACGTCCTGCTGTTCTCAGAGCACCAGCATGCACCTTTTCCATTTACCTCATGCTGCATCTTTGCCTCAAGTCTCTCCAGTTTAAAAGCCTCTAAACCAAACCAAACTACACAGACATTCACCTTTATTTGATATCTTCTCTTTCTTCTTTTTTCCAGGTTGCTGCAGGTGGAAGAAGAGAAAAAGAAGCAGTTCCAGCTCCTCCAGGAGCAGCAGAGGGCCTTGCAGAGCCTGACCCCATTACAGGAGGCCTCAGACGGCAGTACGGACCAGGATACCCCTTCGGCTCTTCACTCGGCCTCCCAGGAGCTCCAAGATCTGCGGGCTTCTCGCCAGAGGAGCCACCAGCACCTGGAGGTAAAGAGACGTTTGGATTGGCTCAGTGTGCCGCATGTTTAATACTATTTTAAAAAAAAACACCTCTTTTCTTATTGCAGGAGGTACAAGAGAAGCTGAGGAACGCCAGTCAACATGTGCGGCACTGGAACGTCCAGCTGAACCGCCTGATGACACCCGTTACTCCTGGAGGTGCAGTATGCTCCTAATCTGGGCTGTTTGGGTCTGATTAAAGGGGGAACGCAACAACTCTTAATTAAGTTGTCTTAAGGGCAAATATACAGCCTACTCATATATCAATGAGTAATAATCTTAACCTCCTGCAGTGGTTATGATAATAATATTATTTTATATATAGCACTTTCTTAATCACAGTTAGAGCCTTTTTGGTTGTGTCTGTATAGCTTTAACTAACACTAAAACAGAGTAAACAATTAAAAATGTTTCAGAAAAACACAGATTAAAGCAATGAGGAACATTCAAAAAGATTTAAGGAAAAATAAGATAGATCATTTTCCATTAATGTTGTATTGGTTAAGAAAAAGATAGCAAAAGTATTATAGTTTATATTAAGTTAATAATGTTTTGTTGTTTTTTCTCAAAAAGTCACTGCTAAACACCATCAAAATGCTAATGTTAACCTGTACTGTGCTAAATTGATTTATTTCCTATTAGCCTTCCTAAGAGGTGGAAAATACTGAGCCCCTAAAGTCCCCAAAAGGATTTTTTTATCTTGTGCGCACAAGTTATTTAAATTCTTCCTGCTCTTGCTGAAATCTCAATGTCCGCCAGATTCTGTTTAGAGGGGCATGGACGGGCGAATAACAGAAAGCTATCTTTCTCAACTATCTTATCAACCAGCTCACCCACCAATAACATAGCAAATTGACTGCTTAAATAAAGCAATGAACACAGCAATGTTTCA